CCAGCATGGCTTGGGTAAAATGCTCATTGCAAAAAGATTAGAGGAAGGAGCTACATGTCATCACAACACAGTAATCTACTTACACACTGCTTACTGGTCCACTTAGGTCCTGAAGTTTTATATCTTGCTACATGTACAAATATACACGTAATATAAATGTGTGATATAATGTAATGTACATATGCATATATAAAATTACAGCTACTTGTTATTTATAGAAAAAGTAGCTTTTAAAAATAATCTACTTAAAAGCTGTTGTCACAGACAAATTTTAGCAATGTATTCCATAGATGAACTGTATGTATTCAAAATCACATCCTTCAAACTTGAAGAAAGTACATGCAATATTCCCAGATTGATTTTTAATGCACAGTCTGCCCCATGCAGACCAATAACACCAGCAATGCCATTTCTGTCCTGCAGTCAGATGTCACCTGGCAAATGTGGGTCAGGCCAGCACACTGTGCTGACTGCAATTGCTGTTATTTGGGGCAATCAACTCTCCTTTGCAGGGATAGCAGCCCCCCGATGGGGGCAGAAAGGGTTTAAGCAGAGATTACATCTCCTGTGAATTTGCAAGAAGGATTCATGGAGGCCTTTGTGGGCCATTACCTCCATTTATAAATCCCATGTCTGACCGTATCTATGGTTGAGCCATCTGCTGGCTGCTTATCTGGCCCAGGAATGAGAATGATGGCAGCTGATCCCATTAAAATGTAACGTCTTCCCCAGGAAAATACCTCGATTTTGTCTCCCTTTTTCTTTCAAGGTTCCCATCCCTCATCAACTTGTGGTCAAGAGATCTTCAGAGCAGAACTCTATAAAACTTTCGTGTTCATGTCACTTTAACTCTGGGACTGGACAAGAGCTTCGGAAATAGAACCTATTGTCTGAGGTCAAGATTTAAATAAATAAGGTTCAGATCTGACATATTCAAACTGCAGACTGTAGAGAACAGACCGCGTTATTCAGAAGTCATTCCTGCTTCTACAAACTCCGGTTTGAGCAAGAAGATCCTAAACAGAATGGAAAGCAGCTGGGATGAACTCTTTGGGCACTGGGGGATGAAGGTTTTTCTCTGAGTGCCCCAGAAGAAAAATTTGATGGGTTACGAAACCTTTACACCACTGCAGAATTTTGCTAAAGACCCAGTAGGAAAGAATGGACTTGAACGCCCAGCATCTGTCCCATTCTTGATAACTCCCTTGCTGTTGTTATCAATTGCTAGCCTCAGGGTTTTAATTTAAGCATCCTTTAAGAGTTAACTGTACTCCTATGAACAGAACTTTCTACACAGCTCAGTAATTTGGAACAAAATATTAATGAAAGTATCCATTCTTACAAACATGATTGCAAGGTGTAAGTAGATGAGACCAATGTTTTTTGAGGTAATATCCAGCAGAAGTTTCTAAGAACTGACATAATTCACAGAATGATGCTGGAAAGCCTTCACCAAAACATGCTCTTCCCTTACCAGTGCACATCACATTCTCCACACATTTTACTACTAGTGGCTGACAGAAAAGCTTTGTACACTGTGGCATAACTGATAGAGAAGATACCATAACAAAGTGCCTGGACCTTCCTGACAATCCTATTTCTCTGTTCCTCAAGCAGCATCACTTTTACTCTCCTGTTATTTGCTCTCACCCCCTCCCTCATCTCAGATTCCAACACATGCTTTTTATTTTTTCCTAGTCTGAACAGTCAGATTTTACCATGCAGATACCCACCAGACCAAGCTGGTACCAGGAATAACGATACTCCCAATGAAAACAGGCATTGAGTCACAACCTGTATTTCTTAAATACAGGGCTAAGTAACAAAGGTGCACTTGGCTACACTTTAAACAATTTCTTATCAGTGCTGGACGAGTGTGTAATTACCACTCAAAATAGTTGAAAACTTCTTTTCTTTTTTTGCAACCTATCAAAGCAGTGGTTCCACACAATATACAGTGTGTCCAAGAATAGTAACAGCCATTGATGGGAACTGATAACATTTGGGGACTGAAGGTTAATCAGTTCTGGAAAAAAAAAAAAGGAACAATGGAGAGTGAAATAGGAACTGAAGTCTCATTAAAGAAAACTATTTTAAGGCTAGAATTATGAGTGTTGACATCAATCATGGGAAAAGAGTTCAAAGTTGTTCCTAAAAGATCTAAATAAGAAGCCTTGAGAAAAAAAGCTTGTTTTCTGCCCTGTTTGCAGTGACAGCAAAACCTTTCTTTTTGAGAGAGAGATAAGGAAAAATACTGTGTGAAGGATCTCTTTGCACTGTTTTAAACCCTACCAATATGAACGTTTATTTTAAGTTATCTGTGATGGAGGGCAGTGAGGATTCAGTGTTCAGTCAGGCTGATCCTTCTGCATGTGTTTCCTTTGTGTATTTCCAAGGCACAAATCTGCCTGCAAACTGTGGGATGCGCTCACAGCACCGAGGGCAAATTGGTGTGAGTAACCAAAACTGAGCACAGATTGAAAAGAAACACACACACAAAAAAGAAACTTGCAGGAAGATTTTGGACTTGTAATTATTATTATTATTATTATTTTCTTAAAGGAATGGCATTCTGCTCTGTAGATTGCAGTGGGAAGCCGGGGAGAAAGTGGGATCACTTCAGAACTATGAGCAAGCCCTGATGCAGCCCAGATCTGAGCACACCAACACCACTTGGCTGGAAGGGAGCTGAGCAGGTGCCTGAGTTAAACAAGTGCACAGTTTGTCAGTTTGGATTTGAGCAAGTGCATAAGTGCTTCACCAGCTCAAGCACTTAATTAGATTTGGGGGAAAAAAGCCAATTCAAAGTATAAAAGGCTGTCGAAAGCAATAAAACTGTTTACCAATTTCAAATTGGCCCTGTATGTAAAGAGCATATTTATGTGCAGCATAGTTCTGTTCCCATTCAGTCAGTGTGTGTTTAAATATTTAGTGACCGCGGGAAGAGGGCCAAACTGGGAGCAGTTTTAGGGGTTAGGGGTGAAGTGCTAAATCCCAAAGTATCCAATTTACCAATGCAAAGTAGGGAATACCATTGTCCTCACTTTACTTATGAGGTTCAGTGTCACAGGGAAGTGAAGTGCTGGAGCCAGCGTGCCAGAGAAGCAGCTTGGAGAAGCTCCGTTCTCAGCCGATGCCCACATGTCCCCACGGGGAGCTTTCCTCTCATGGGCACAGGGCAGCACGAGGGACTGCTGGGCAGACGGATGTGAGCCAGTGTCACAGCTCTGTGTGCAAACACATTAACAGAACGCTGTGAGCTGATTTGCGTTTGGTATTTCTTCTTCTCCAGCCCTTGAGATAAGGTTTCACCCAATTCACTCATCTCTGAATTCGGTGCTCGTGGGTTCTGCTGTTACCGAGGGAAGAAGCAGCCAGTGCAGAACAGCCCTGCTGGATCCTGTGCTCGGAATGTGCTCTCTGCACAGGTGGGTTTCCATTGCACATCTGTACATCTCCCTTTGTCCTGTGCTCCCTTACTGCGTTCGCAACTCCACCTCACAAGTCTGCCTTTAAAGCCTGGTGTTTCGAACAGTAAATGCTGAAGCAGTGCAGAGTGGGATTTGCCAGTAACATTACGCTGCATGACAAACAGCCCAGATTACGCCGGATTGTTTTTTCGGGTTATAATTTCATTTATTTTATTGGTGCTACTTTTAACACCGATAATTGTTTCGAGATATTCAGACGAGACGTTTCAAAGTATCTACCGGAATAGGTGTGCTTGCTCAAGGGTGCATCACCGCGCCGCACGGAGCCAGCGGGCACTGCCTCTGCCTTTGTTTTGGCACAGCCAAGTGTTCCATCAATGCACGGGATGACAAAACAAGCTCCCATGACAGGCTGTGAGCAGGGCGGGCTCAGGGCAGGGTATACCCACACATTGTGATGCACGAAAGCATTAGCGCCAAGTTCAGCCCGAGCTCTGCGTGCCCAGGATGGGGCCGTTCCCCCGCGCCGGGCTTCGGCTTGTCTCCCGGCGCAGCGCGGTTCTGTCGCTTAAGCCTCTGAGCCGCGGTATGAAAAATGCAGAGCTTAAAGCTGAGGGAAATTCGGGACTGTTTTGTTTTTTTTCGCTCTCGAGTCGGGGGCGGGCGGGTTGGATGCAGTGCGATCGGTCCGAGAGAGGATACGGGGCTCTGAGGGGAAACCGAGCGCGACGGTCACGGAATTTACGTACGGGAATCGTTAAAAAAAAAAGATAGCGACACTTTTATAAAAAGTTTCATATGGATTTTGTAAGAACTGCGTTGTTAAAGGCTACACAAACACTTCAGCGCTCCTAATCCGGTGAGGGGTGTGTGACGTTCGTTCTCCCGTCCTTACAATAGGAACGAAATCCATCAGAACATCCGCATCCCTCCAAGATTCTCTGATTTGCTTTAAACTTAAATTCTAAGTCGGAACGCATCAAAGGCAGCAGTTCGACTCCATCCATAGCCAGGGACCGCCTAAGGTGTCTTAACTCTGAGCAGGACGCTTTCAATAAATATTTACTTTTTTTTCTGGCTTTTTATTGTTTATTACAAATCAGCGCTTATTACGTAGCATCGCAAAACCTCGAGCGGACGCAAAGAGGGGAGAAGGATCCGCCAGTACACCTTGAAGCGGCCATGAATTAGAAACGTTCCTCACCCGAAAGTTTGCCTTACGAAGAGGCGGCGGTGGGGCTCTGTCGTTTCTCCTCACCTCGGGGTGCCCACAGAGAGCGGCTGTCGCGGCGTTACCCGCCCGACCCTCTCTCCCCCTCCCCCCCGCCGCCACCTGTGAGCGCGGCTTCCGCATCCCCCGGGCACGGCCAACTCCGGGCATCGCGGGCGGCACCGCGCACCCCATCGGGACGCGTTCCTCGGCTCCCGAAGCGGGGACGGACGGGCACCAACTTCGGAGCGTCGGGATCCGCCGCCGGCTACGCAGACCGGAGGACGGAGGGAGCTGCGGACGCCGCGGGTGTCCCCCGGGGGATGCTCGCAAGCTTTCAACGCGCGGCCGCCACTTACCGTGGTACTCCTGGCCGGGCACGTAGGCGGCGGGGTTGCCGGCGATGTGGAGGGCGATGAGCACCTCGCCCTGCTCGCCGTCCCCCTCCAGCTCGCCGTGGTGGGTGCAGAGGAAGAAGAAGGGCGAGAAGCGGGCTCGGGGGGTGGCCGCACGTCCCGCCGCCAGCAGGGCTCCCAGCGCGGCCAGCAGGCAGGGCCAGCCCCCGGGGACGCCCCGCCGCCGCTCCATGCTGCTGCCGCCGGCGCCGCTGGGGCATCCAGGGCACGGCGGGGCCGCCGCGCCGCTCCGCTCCTCTCCGCTCCCCGCGGGACGGGACGAGACGCGACGGGACGGGACGGGACGCAGGGCGGGACGGACGGGACGGGGCGGGACGGGGCGGGCGCTGCCCCCCGCCGAGCCCGCGGAAGTTCGGGGAGCGCGGAGCGGCGCGGAGAGGAGCGGAGCGAGGTAAGGGCGACCGCGGCCCTTCCGCGCCCGCAGAAGGCTGCGTTGCCCCGAGCGGCTCCGCCGTCCCCGTCTACCGCTGCCGGGGTGCGGGGCTCGGAGCCGGGAGCGCGAGGGTTGGGAATAATTTATTTCCCCCGGTGTCGGGGTGGGAGGGAGGGGAAGGTCCCTCCTCCTCCTCCACCTCTTTCTCCTCCTCCGCCGCCGCCGCCCGCTCCTCCCGCTCCTCGCTCTGCGCGCCGGGGTGCGGTGATGCCTCTGCGGAGCCGTGGGCTGCCGACCCAGCGCTGTCGCTGCCCTTTGTCTGTCGCCCGTCCCTGCCTCCGGGTCCCCGCTCCGGCCCCTGGCGCTGCTCTCGGGTCCCTGCTCTGCTCCTGCCGCCGATCCTGCCCCAGTTGCCGCCCCGGCACCTGAGTCCCTGTGCCCCCGTCCCGCTTCTCCAACCTGTGTCTCTCTGCCTCTATCCCTGTCCAGCATCCCCAGTCCCCGTCCTACAGCCCAGTCCGTGTGCACACAGCCCAGCTCTCTTCCTTTTGCCCCTAGCCCTCCTCCCTAGTCCCTGCCCCTCTCTCTGCCTCTGCCCCTCTCCCTGCCCCAGCCCTGTCCGTGATAGATGTGCGCCCAGTTGGTTTGTCCTTAGACGTTCTTCCCACACATACACAGAGTTCTTCAGGTCAGGAGGGGCAGTGTGAGGGCCCACAGGGAGGGCAGGTTCCCAGGAGAGCAGTTCAGCCCCCAGGGAGGTGTGCCCAGGCCCCACACCTCAGGAAGAGGAGCGAACACAGGGCGGACTGCAGGGGGAATGAGCAGCTGGACACGAAATGCTGGCAAGAGGAATAATTCATACAAATGTACATTTTTAATTGAGCAGGGCTAGCAGAGGGACTGCAGTATGAGGAGACAGGAGCAGACCTACCAGTCTGTAAGGTGTGTGCCACACTGCTGCTGGATGCCAACTGGTGTCCAGGACAGCGCAGGCAAGCACCAGTGACATGATGCAAGTGGAAAGCAGAGCGTACCTGCCAGCATTTTGTCAAGTGCAGAACTGGCACGGGCCAGGGGCTCCCTCCTGGATCCGTGTTAGTGCCAGAGGGAAAGGTTCCCTCCGCAGAGGCGTGAGCCACATGGCAGCTGCCCTTCATTGGTGCAGCCTGCCAGGCTGGCCCATCTCCACGCCGCTGATGGGAGCCCGCGTGGGGCCCTGGGGACATCCTCACCATCTGTCCGAGCTGTCTCTGCCACTGGCTGTGCACCAAGCTGAGCTCAACACCACCGTCAGAACTTCGCTGCAGTTTTCCTTCTCAGTCTTTGGTGGGGATGGAGCGAGGCCGTGTCCCGCATTGTCCTGGATGGGGGAAGCACGGGGACAGACTCCCCGTGAAGACGCAGAGGCACAGCGGTGCAGGGGGCATCCAGCTCCAGCTGGCGGCTGTCCCAGGCCACTGCCTTGGAAACAGAGCTGCTCGTCAGTCTGGCTCCGACTTTTCCCTTTTAGCTCCTTTATTTATTTTTCAGCTTCGGGCATTTGTTTGTTTTGGATATATATTTTTTTTAACATTTGTGCCTCCTTCATAAATTTTAGTGCTAATAGAAGTGATGGACTAACATAATTTGCTCACGCCAGAATCTCAAACAGGCATAAGCTGTTCAGGCTCCCTCCAGAACTGCCCTGGGGGAATGTTTGCCCCATGCTTTCCCACCCCCCCACCTCTCCCACTAAGTGCCCACTCGCCATCCACAGAGCTCGGGGTCTGCAGGCACAGCCAGCCCCATTATTTCATAATGAAGGAAGTGGCAGGGGAAGGGGCGATTGCCTCCCACCACTGCCAGAGTGCTCCCCAGCTGCCAGCAATGCCTTCATTTATTTTTCCTCCAAGAGATAACTCTCTAAGTAAGTTTGGGAGCATGGGAGTATCTAATCAGCCAGGGGATTTCTCTGGAAATCTCACTGAAGTTGTTGGGGTTTGGATATGCCCTGTGGTGATGAATTGTAGGCTTTTTTTCTTTGTTTCCAATGGTTTAGTAGACAGTATTGTCAGTGCAGCTGGGCACTAAAAGCTGTGTTTGTTGCTTACAAGCAAAGGGGAAACTCAGCAAAGCAATGTGGGCAAGGCAAGGTCTCTGCTTGGAAGCCTCATGTTCTGCCTTAATCACCTCCCTCCTCCACTTCTGTACCTTAGCACCTTTCTCTCTCTGTCCTTTCTCCTTTGTTTTTACTGTTCCTGCAGACATCTCACCTCTTCTTTGAAGGTCACAGCCTGTGCCCAGTCTGTGGAGAGACCCCGGAGTGCTAATACTGAAGGGGACAGGACACAAATGGCTATCTGGGTCCTCCAGCCACCGGCAGCAGTGTGACTGATACATAGACCAGCCATGATCCCTGCCTTCCTGAACCCTCGTCATCAAAGAGTGCTTCCGAAAACTGCCCTGTAAGTTTCAGGTTCATTTTCATCTAGAATAGTGGTGCCCATCAACAAAACATGGGGATGAGGAGCATTGCAAGAACTGCAACATTACAATTACACGTTCCTACAACAGCAGGGACACCCTTGCTGAATAAACTTTCAGGTAAGCCAAGGCTGTGCCCAACCCCTGTGCTCCAGAGGAAAGGAAGGAAAAGAAACACCATGAGCCCAGTTCTCCCAAAACGCCTCCAAAATGTCCCTTGCATGGAGCTCTTGAGCCCTTCAGCAAATCCCCTCAGGGGATTCTGTCCCCTGCACTGGGTCAGTGTGGTACCTGCCTACTGAAGATAAGGCATTCATGCAATGCCTTTGGCCAATATTTCCCATTCATCCTTCTCCTGATGACACAAGATTAAAATATTATTATTGTTCATAATAGTACAGTCTCTTTAAGAAAAGCGATTTTCTTAAATTTCTTAAGCTCACTTCATTCAGAGAGAGAGCTTGCACCCCAAAAGCAGAATGGCAAAGCTAACGGCAGAGAAGCTGCTTTATTAGTAGGGCCACAAGCAGTCCCTTTGCAAGGGTCAGGATAGGCTCAGGAATAGTTCAGCAACACTCAGCAATAAGGAGTTCTGTCAGAGCTCTCTGTATCTGGAAAAGTTTTCATGGGAGAACATAGAAGAACACTTGTCACTGCTGTGTGGAAAGTCCTGATACAACACTCCAGCTTTTAAAAACAACTTTCTATGACTGCCCAAGGTTTCTTCATGATTGGCTTAGAATGGCAGAGACCACTAGGCTGCAAGTGGCACTTGTTCACTGTGGTACAGCATGTAACATTTAAGAACAACAAGTTGAGGCATCGTTGTTTTTGTTTTTTTTTTTTTAATGCTAATAAAGATGGTCAGGTGGAATTTTCAAAGTGAGAGCTTTCCACCAAATGCTTTTCCTTTGCACTCATCCAAGCAAGCAGCTGTCTTGCTGTGTGCCTCTCCTCCTGGCCATTGGGCAGACTCAGAGAGCTGACCTGCTCTTTTTGCTGCTTGGAAGGTTTTGCTGAAGAAAGGAGTACTGATTGCTGAAGGAGCATGATGTGATGGATGTGCAGAAGAAAGCCTTGTAGCTGATACAGTTGATGATCTGTTCACAAGCACTTTTCTTTGAAGAAGTACTGTTGTGTTACTGGAGGCAGTGGTTCCCTTGGGCCGGCTGGCCCCACAGCGCTTGTTCCCGACCTTATGGAGCACAGGGCTGAGCCTGGCTGTGCAGCAGCGACTCCTCTGGACATGGGAAATGCGACGTGTTCAGCAAATGCATGCAGCCAGATTGAGCCACTGGCTCTGTGTCTCATCCCACTCCTCTTGTCTCAAGTATAGGCAGGAAAATTGTGAACCACTGATCCAAGAGATGGAACACTTCCCCTACAAGGACAGTTGGGAGCTGGAGTTGTTCAGCCTGGAGAAGAAAAGTCTCTGGGGAGACCTGAGAGTGGCCTTTCATTATCCATAGGGAGACTGTAAGAAAGAAGGGACCACAGTCTTCAGTCGGGTTGGTTGTGACAGGACAAGGAGAAATGGTTTCAAATCAGAAGAGGGCAGATTTAGATTGGATGTAAGGAAGAAGTATTTTACAGTAAGAGTGATGAGGCAATGGAACAGGTTGCCCAGAGAGGTTGTGGATGCCCTGTCCTTGGAGAATTCAAGATCAGGCTGGGCAGGGCTATGAGCACCTGCTGTAGCTGTAGGTGTCCCTGATCATTGCAGGGGGGTTGAATCAGTTGATCTTTAATGGCCCCTTCAAACTAAACCGATTCCATGGTTCCATGATTCTTGGATTAAACCATCAAAACAGTCTGGGAAGTTCTTCCCCAATCACCCCAAGGGTCCCTGTATCAGGGAACTCAAGTGGGAGGATGAATCCAACAGTGCCAAAACCAAAACCCAAACCCTTCTCTTCCGTCAGAAGTGTTGAAGCTTCAGTGAAGTTGGGCCTCAGTGCATCTGCCTCATGAACGCTGGACAGAAGCATTAGAAGTAATTAGTAGCTAATTGATCTTGTCCCTTCTTTCAAAACAAAGTCTTCTGTTCATGAAGTCTCCTCATTTTCTCCTATTTATGCAGGCACTGCCACAGTGACTTACCAGAGGAGCCTGGAGCTTTGGACTTGGCCATGCCACGTAACCCCTTGGGATGAATTCCTTTTTTGTGCACACTGCTGGTCATAGCTGCGTAATAATGCAGCCTTGCCTCGCCACTTGCATGAACTTTGCTCTTAAGTAGAGCCCAAGCCATTTCTAAACAAAGGCCTAAATGTGAAATTACAGTCAACTTCCATGCCTATGTTATTACGAGATTTTCATTTTTCTAGGGTATGAACAATAGCAGCTATTTGGCTGCGCTGTTTTCCCGGGTGCTGGCACAATATGCATCTTCTGTAAACTGACATCTCATGATTTTGTCTGAAAATAGAATATTTAACTGCACATTTTATTCTCTCATAGTGAGTTTCATTCAAATGGTCTTAAACTTGTATTTCTTCATTGCTTATTAACTTTAATGAGGTATGAATATAAAAGAGAATATTAAAAGGGTTTTCTTTTTCAAAAAGGCATTTCTTTACCAACAGTGTTGACGTTATCGAGTAGGTGTGTCTAAGCCCTTAAATTTATTATTGATCTTATAGTCATTAAATAAAGAATGAGATTAAAAAAACCTTAGGCAACTAGGATTAACAGCTTTCTATTGTTTGGATTAATAACACAATTTAAGTGTGAATACTTTAGAAGTGTAGGAAGCCTTTATGCTTCCACACCTTACGCATTTTATTTATTTATATGAAATTAAAGATTTAAATCTCCTACAGCAAATAAACTACGCCCATGCTTAGAAAACAAGATACTGTGAGGGATTGTGAGCTTGGGATTATTCTGAGTATCTATTATGCAGAAAAATAAAAATTTCTGAAGGCAAATACACAGCAGTCATTACAAGTCTTGTTTTTATATATTCCTAACGTTGGTGTATTTTCTTTTAATGAATTATTTTGGGTGCAACACAAGCACAGGAATATCCTTCTTTCTGTGTCTGATCCACTGAACCAATGTGCCTTATTAACAATGCATGAGGAGCTTACCTAAATATATTTAAGGAAATTCAACTTGACTCTCGTTATTTACAATTCTAATGTTCAATCTTGCTTTGGAAATCTGATTTTCAGTGTACATTAAATAAACGTGTTTTATATGAAGAGGCATCTCCTTCAACAAACATTCATGGCTATTGTTTCCTACTGTATGTTTGCTGATCTGGATTTCTGTGAAGAAATGCTGGATATTTACATGTGTTACTGAAGTTTCCAAGGCTTTCATTAACTTGCAAATATTTATCGTGGGTAGTCTTTATCTGAAGAATTTTTTAAATGTCAGTGGCCACAAAAGAAACCCTCAGTCCATTTTACAACCTGATTTATGTCTCTGCTTTTCTCTTCTAACCTGAATAACCCCAAAGGCCCAAGGTACACATGGCTAACAGAGCAGGTCAAATTTAACCGTTTGCTTTGCAAAGGAAAGCAGTAAATCCTAAGGAAGTCCATAAAAGATACTCCTTCTGCTTTATCAAATGATCACCAAACTTGCAAAGACCTGGAAACACCCAATACTGTTGGTTTTGAGGATTTGCTCTTATCACTTCTGCATTTAAAACTTATCTAAAATACACAGTGCACATGGTTAAATGTCAGTGTAGCTGTGCATGGAAATCCAACATCCAACACTTTTATCTAGGAGACACCACTGCAGTTTGTGAGCCCACAGACGCACTGCAAGAATGAACTTTGTTTGCCAAGTGTCGACCACAAAACTTTCTAGGCTGCAGGTGCAAATACAATCCAAGCAAAATATAAACTATGATTTGCATCAAAGCCATTTAAAATGCCCACAGATTTACGGAAAACCAGAGAATAAGTAGGCAGTCCCAGTGATAGGGTGGTGCAGGAGTAGAGTGCTCCCAGGCAGCAGTTTGGGTGCAGGTTGCATCCCGCTGCCCATCACCTCCATGCTCCCTGACCTGCAGGACTGCATGGGATATGCATCAAGATGTCAAACCTCTGCTCCTTATGTGGGACCTGGTCACCAGAACCATCAAGTGCTCTCATTCGTTTTTTTCAGCACACTGAGCCAGTGTGAGCAGGACAACTGGAGAGGAGTTAATGTGATGGATGCCCTCAGTGATTGCGTTACTGCATTCATGCACCAAAAACAGTCTCAGTTTTGGTTAAAGAGCATCTTTTGTTGATGAGATGAGATAAAGGCAGCAGAGCTACAAAATACTATTTGGGCTGGGGTACATCCCCACAGGATGGCTGAGGAACTTGGGGCAGCTGAGCACCCCCATCAATGAGCTCAATGAGCCTGACCTATGAATGGGACTACCGGGCAAAAAGCCACCTCTGTCACAGCTTCAGGCACCTCTGCAAACCAGGCACACGTGAGTCCATGCCCAAAGGTCACAATACGCAGGTGTAATAACACATGGGAAGTGAGGAGACTGAAATGGGGGTGAACAAATGGGAATAGAAAGAAATTGGGTGCTAATGTCTTTTTTCTTCCTGGCACTCTTCACTTGTGGAAAAAAATCTTGTCAGAATTGCACTGCTTTCACTTACTTGTAAATTGTCAGATTTCTTGTTTTTCAGAGTGAGCCATATCCAATATATATGGCAATACTGTAAAATATGGGGCCTGAACTCAATGTCAACATGAATGCAGTTAAGATGTTAGGAATGGTATCTCCACTTCAGTTTTGACCCACAAAATGATTTTTTCAATCAAAATAAGACTTAAAAAATCAGACTTGGTGGTTAATTTTAAAAAAGGTTTTAATTTGTATTAGCAGCAAAGCATTAAGATAAGCCAGAATATTATACAATAAGCAGATATTTTTTTATTATTCCAAATCCTTCACTAGAAGTCTAAAATTCATCACTTATGAGTCAAATATTCCTCCCAGCTCCCTGTAAGAAGGTCACAGAGAGATTGCTTAGAGTGGTTGTCAACAAGAATCTGTTGTATAATAAGAAGTAGAAATGAGACCATAGGATTTTCTTCGTCAAGAGGGATCATTCTACAGCTGAGGAACAGTCTGGTCACTGGGAGGAAAGTATTGGGCTCCTATCCCTGCCCCTTGCTTTTCTTAGGGAGGTTGGTCCCTCCACATCTCAATGTCCCTACATTGATCATATCAACTGGCCCACAACTTTATTAAGTTAGGTATTAAGCTCCCTTTACAGTAAACACTATTATATGATCCCAGTAAAACCATGAGTCTACTTTACCAGCTTTTAAGCCCAAAGGTGCTTCTGGCATCATCTCAGTGTCTCATGCCATGGATCATAGGGCTCCACCAGGGAAGTTTTTTGCAGCTCAAACCTTTCAGCCAAGGCATAACCTCATTTTACAAGGTCTTGAAGATTTCCAGTGCCAGAAAATCCATTGCTCTTTATTCAGCATGATGTAATGGCATTTTTAAAACCACTTGACCCAAATAAAATATTTTCATTTTTCATACAATTGTATTTCCCTTCTCTTTGTTGGACTCTGTTCCACCAATTTAGGTATTAGATTCAAGTCAAGGCAGAGGAAATGTCCCTCTGAAGGCACATGATCTATCAAGTTTCCTATCACCTCTCGCTTCAGTAAGCTGAATAAACCAACTTCTGTGAGCTCACTGCACGGTAGTAGAAGCACTCCACAGAGAGTGACATCGCCAGCAGACATGAGTCCTCCTTGCTCTCGTATGAGATGATGCACAACGGTGTGAAAAGGTGCCAGGTTCCTAAAACTGAGTAGGCTTTCGGAGGGCTGCCATGGAGAGGAGGGGATGAATCTGAGAAACCTACAAATTAAAACATCTTGCTGGGTCACCATGTATGGACTTACAGCATGTTTGAAGATTTCTGATGGGTGTTCATGAAGACTGAACAAATACTAGTTTGTACATGCAAAGGTTTACTTGTGTTTACTGACCGGGACATTTCTTCTTCTTCCTCAGAATTCATCTGAAACCCCCAGGATGCCCCAGCCCTGCACAGGGGACCTCAGTGTCTCCAGTTCTGCCCCACTGCTCGTGTGCTCTCTTAGGAACTTCTGCAAATCGATGTGCCAGTCCCAGATTGCTTTTTTCCATGGTAATTCCTTCTACAATAAAAACACACAAGTACCTATGAGTGTGTGTAGAGTCTCTGCATTAAAGCACAAGGCCCAATGAGAAGGAAGCATCTGACCAAACTGTACCCAGGAACATCCGTACACAAAGAACATGAATGAAAACACCCAGTGGGCTTTCAGATCCATTTAGGGTCTTCAAGGCAATGAGAGAAGAATCTGAGGCATCTCTCAGCTTCCAGGTGAGGTGAATGGAGGAGTTTTTCCTGACAAAATATCAGTGCTCCAAAACCTGTGCTTCCTGCCCCTTGGGAAAAGGGAGCCTGAGTGACCTGAGGCAAAGCTTGATGTCATTCTGCCCTGGCTCATGTGACTGTACTGTCATGTTGGCTGCTGTAACCATGATCGTCCCTCCTAACACTTCAGCTGTTTAGAAGTAGTTCTCAGATTTAGTCGTTTTTCTCTTCAGAATCCTGTCTGGAAAGACATGGGATACAAGAGCCTGTGCCACCAGCGTCTGCCTCCAGAGGGACCAGAGCCTTTATCAGCTGATGGAAGGGGCTTGGGGCACAATGCCTAGCAACACCTGGCATCCCTATAATCTGTCTAATTCCTCAGCCTTCCCCTCACTCATCCTTCCGAGGAGATAACAGGATGGGTGTTATCTCTGTGAGCTGTGCACACATGCTGATGGCAGTGCTGGAAATCCCAGGTTTCCAGGCAGGCTCTCCCTCCCTGCCGCAGGCTGTGCCACCCTCCTCACGCCAGGCCCAGCTTTGTGCTTTGCAGGCAAACCTCACAGACCCACCTGTTCCTCACAGACCCGCCTGTACCTCGGGCCACCTCTGCCTCCCAGCCATCCCAGGAGAAGGTATGGGAGTGTGTGCTCTGCAGGCCCCAGGCAGCCCTGTTGGCCATCAGCAGCCTGGCATGAAATCAAAGGATGTTTGTCCAGTGTTCTGAGAGCCTCAACTGGAAGAAGATGTAGAAATGCAAAGTGCAGGATTCTTTTTTCCTTGGCAAATAGCCTAGAAAAGTAACAAAAAGAGGCAGAAATGCCAAAAAGCAAACCACCTACTGTTGTCTCCTGGAGATAAAGCAGAACATTGTTCCAAGGAGCAGAATGCTGCTGTCATTTCTTGTGGAAGTGGAGATAGCGTCACCGGGTCCTGGGCAGGGGGAGGAGGGAGAAAAATGAACAGCTCAAGTGAACCTCTTGCAGGGAAGTTAAGGTAGTGCATTTACTGCAGAATTATGTGACATCGTGCATTTAGAGAAATCACGGCTGTGTGGAGTGAACACAGACATGGAGACATTTGCGACATTCACTGGGTACAATAGTTTGTTGTAGATTATTACTCCCACTCCTGAGGAGAGTTCTTCTCCACATGAGTCATAAGGACCATGCCCATCTATGTTGCTATGGCCCATAGCACCCTACTGTCCATTATCTATTATTGTCTATTATCTTCCCCCACACAAAAAATGCCGACTTTCCAGTGTATGATTTCTGACATTCAGCAAATGCAACGAGGACAGAACACCAAGCACAGGGCTCGGTCACTGCACTGCTTCCACTCTGCCAGTCTTTGCTGCTAAGAGTCCTTGGAGTACAATGGTAGCTTTTAAGCTAGATCCCTCTGTTTGATTTAGTATCAGTCTGTGTTTGCTAAAGCCAAGCCCCTTCTCTAATGAAATTAACACCAGGCTCAGAAAACGTGACTTTTTGTGTGGATAATTGCATGCGTACAACGCTCTGTTTCTCCCTGTTCTGTAGATTATTGGGAAACAAGACATAATCTTGTGGCAAGAAGTGTAAAAATTTCCTCCGGGCTCTACCAGAGCTGCTGACACAAACCTGACAGAGGCACCTGCAGTGGCTCTGCCCCATCCGTCCACACACCAATGCTCCAACTTCCCTCCAAAGTCTGAAGCAGAAGCAATTCAGCACCCGCCTCTTTGCTGCTCCACTCTTGTGCCTCAGCTCGAGCTGACTGGGGCACACATTTCATTCTGCTTACACTATTAGAGCGGCAGTAACCTCTGGCAGGCAGGTGGGAGACAGCTCTATCTGAAACCGCTG